TCATTGCAGTATTTAAGACAGCTTTTTATTTTCTGTATATGGGCCATGCTAAAAGTAGGATTCATGTCGCTTCAACCAAGCTGCCTAAGGATAGTTCTGTGATCATTCTCTTTCAGATTATTGGAAACAAAGATTCCAGAAGAATTCCAGACTTCCAGAAGATATCTCTGTCTCGGAGACCTACCTTAGGAAGAAATAAATTATCTCATTAAGTACCAAGGGATTTTCTGAAATCAGCTTTACCTCACCTGTCTGAATTCCACATTTGATCCACGTTATGGATGTGCTCATCTTGTCCTCTGCTGATGAGTCTCACCTTAAATTATTGCCTTAGGAAGGCAAAGGATGGCTCTGATGTGAAAAGTGGTGCCAACATAACTAAACAACCAAGTATATGTTATTAGGGTCATGGTGTCTTTCATAGTTATTTTGAAGTTCTTAGGTGTGGGTAAGACCAAGTGAACTCCTTCCTGAAAATATTTTACTTAGTGAAAAATGCATCTTTGTACATGTGTACAATTTCCACACCACAAAAATATTTCAGAAATTCCAAAATCGTTAAAAAAACATTTTAATTTTTTTCTCATTTAATGTCAATTTATTAAAGAATAGCAACTAAAGGTTATTTACAGTTGAAAGTTCCATCAGGAAACTTTAAATTTTGTCAACTGAGGTCTTTCCCTAAACAACCTTTTCTTTTTTTTATATGTGAACACTAAACTTGGAAATCAATTATTCATTAACTTTATTTATGAATAGACCTGGCTGCTGCATGTTTTTCGACATCAGGAGTTGACTTTTCTTAAAAATGAAACTTTTCTTCAAAACTTGGCACTGTTAAAGACATTCTCTGTAATCCAGTAAAATCTTATTCTTCCCAGATTTTATCAGGGATTGTGTTTACCCTAAACCACAGAAATGTCTGTATGTGTATTTATAAATTGTGTTTATTTTTAAATGATGTGAAATAGGAAATACAACAGAAATTTTCAAGAAAATCAGAACATGAGTCTCTTTGCTCTTTAAAACCAGTAAGAACTTTCAGCATTTCTAAAATGATCTCTGAAGCAAATTCATAAATTTCTTACATGCTTGTGTCCTTAGATCATTTCCTTTGCATATTAAATTCTTTATTTCTTTTTTCTTGTGTCAAGGCACCTCAAACTCCAGTTAGTGTGAGGAAGGCAGAGTGATGGAGGTGATTTTACTCAGCATTGTGTGTCTAAAATCGATCTGTACGAGCTCTCTCCAGAGTCAGTGGAGAGGGACAAATATTTCCAGAGTATTTCATCCCAGCACTTGTGAACACATTATTTTAAAACAGGAGGAGATTTCCATGAGGACACTTCCTTCTGGTGTATCTGAGTGCATAACAGATACGCTCAGATAAGAAATGCATTGCTGTGAGAATAAATCAAGTGTCAGCTGCAGCATTTGGCCCATCTATTGCTGTCTGAAAGGGCTGAGTGTGGCTGCAGCTTGATCTAACCCGAGGCAAGATGAATTAACACTAGAACAACCCCAAATGGCTAATTGAAAGAGATCCATGGGCTAATCCAAAACTTTTTGAGCTGATTTTGCCTTTACCTCCTTCCCAGCAGACGTAAGTCAGGCCATCACTGGGCTTCAGATATTCATTGACAGGATAAGGAGAAACGGCCTCAGTTTACACCAGGGGAGGTTCAGGTTGGATATCAGGAAAAAATTCTTCAGTGAGAGAGTGGTTAAACACTGGATCAGGCTGCCCAGGGAAATGGTGGAGTCACCGTCTCTGGAAGTGTTGAAAGAATGAGCAGACGTGGCACTTTGGGGTGTGGTTTAGTTGACAAGGTGGTGTTTGGTCAAATGTTGGACTTGATGATCTTGGAAGTCTTTTCCAATCTTAATGATTCTATGATTAGTCCTTCCTTTTGTTCCCTCCCCAATCTAGTATATGTTCTTAAATTCTTTCATTTCTGCTGGACACGGGCAGTGAAAATATATCAAATTTTAAGATACTCAAACCAGTATTCAAAGAGAGATATTTAGAGTGAGATAAGTCTTAGAAGTGCTTCTCTCTGTTTCCTGTAAACCATGTGCTGGGAATTATTCAGCAACTTCTGTTATTAGCTCACACAGTCATAGAATCATAGAATGGTTTGGGTTGGAAGGGAAGTTCCAATTCCTTAGGGAAGGGGCCATCTTGTTCCAGTCTCCTGCCATGGATAGGGACACCATCCACTAGACCCCAGCAGGTTACAGATATTAATTTATTGCAGATAAAATCAGGCCCTCTGACGCTTTCTGATGACTGCTTTTAAAACTTGCCAAATAACAGCCCTGAGTCTCACATTCATCTGATGAGATTGTAAACAAACATAATCAATGCAAATTATGATTTTGCTCCTGAAATCTAAATCAGGTTTTCAAATTTAGTTTCAGTTCTGTATGCATTTTTTAACAAAATTAAATGCACAGGTAAATAAAGGCCACCTGCAACCCCCCAGATTAAATAAATGTTAAGTAGATCATTCACTGGACTTTTTAATGATATGCTTAATTTTGTAAAAGTCAAAAGGTGTTACAGCATTTTCAAAATAAAAATTGAGACAATATTTCATTGAAAACATTGGCCTACAAAACAAAACTAAATCTAAAAGAAAGTTAAAACAAAGCCGGCTAAACAAAATAGACTTGTGTTAGATCCTCACTGTAAATCTGACAAAAAAAATTTCATTTTTAATTCAGCACAACCTAATACTTTTCCTCAGGCTTGTTATTTCAGCAGCAAACTGGAAAACACTCCTTTATCCAACTATTGTTGCTACTAGAAAGATTGAGTTATGGCCAAAGAAGCATCAAAAGGGAATGTTTTCAGTGCTGAGCATTGGAGCTGGAGCTTGGCAGAGCTGACAGACAACCCTTGTTGTTCTAATCAGGAAGAAATGTGCTCCATCCCTCTGCCAGGAATACACAAGCAGCTGAATATTCCATTGTTTTTATTTACTTATTTTCCAGGTAGTTCAGGTATCTCTAACTACCCTTAAAAATGAGGAGGAAAAAGACATTACATTATTTGTATTGCCACTAGCTAGAAAATGATGGATTCCCCCAGCATGGCTGGAGGGGTTTTATGGGATTTGCTTTTGTTTTTTTTTTTTAATCTTCCCTTCATTAATATTTAAGTCTAAACTTAGGGAAGTGAAAATGAACACATAACAAACAACAACCCAAGTTACTCCTTGCAGGTCTAGTTTGAAATTCAGAGCACTGGTAGCTGGTGAAAATATCAAATGGGAAATATCTATTTTGTGGGACATGTTTTTACTGCACCTTGGAAGAACCGTGTAACAGTTCTTAATGCAATGTTATTCTGCCTCATTCACTAATTACTGTAAATTGGCACAACTTCATCCTGCTAATAGAGAGCTGCCAGATGACACAAATGGATAACCTGGATCACTACTCAGTAATTTATTTTGCTGAACCTCATAACTAAACACAGTTCCCCTCTTGGAGAGATAAATAAATCTCTGTTGATGGAAACTGAACTTGGCTTTGCTTTGTGCCTGATTTCTGGAGAGCTTGACTAAAATTATGTTACTGACTTGGTGTATAGTAGAACCAGGGAAAAAAAAATTAAAGAGAAAAACTTTTTCATGTAATTAAAAAACCACCCAAAACCTCCAGCCCTGAAATGCTTAATTAAACAGTTCTAAAGAGAAGTGGCCAGAGGCAGAATTTGGCATGGAAAGTACATTGAAGAAACCGTTCTAAAGGACCCAATGAAAAAGTGTTTTGATTTGATTAAGTTATAAGTTTTCTGTGGGAAAAAAAAAAAAAAAAGAAAGAAAAAAAAATCCTTCAAAGCAATAAACCCGGTAAGTTCCTGCAGGACTATTAATACCAGAAAAAAATAATAAATCTTTCTAAAAGGAGCATAATTTGTCCTGAAAAAAGAAGATCTGGTTTAAAATGTTATAATCTCCATTTTCCTCTAGAAGTCTACCCAGTGCTCTTCTTGCATGTCTTAATCTACTCATCTTTTCAGTGGTTTGTGTTTTGCTTTTAAACCAATTTATAGGGTAAATCCAAGGGCCAGGTGCTACTCCAAGAGTAGGAAAAATATGCAGAGCCTCCATTCTATATTATTTTCTATGTGCCTGTCCTTAGCTTTTGACATGGATTGGTATTCTGAGCAAAGGTAATCCAATTTCCAAATAATATCATTCATTTATAATACTGATATTTCCCTTGATTTCCAGCTGGAGAAATCAAGTGATTGCTTAGGAATCAGTTTCCTCCACAAACAAGTAAACAAACAAAAAAATTGTTCTTCCCAGAAAGAAGCTGCTATATAAAAAATAATCTATTTCTAAAGCATTAAATGCAATAAGGACTGATCCAGCATGTTAATTATTTACGGTGGGAAGAATTGAATAAATAAAAAATCAAGATAAATTAAAATCTTGTGATACACTTGCATATAATCAGGGGTTTACGAGTCCCTATTTCAAATCTATGAAAATGTTGTGAAAGGAGCAGGCTGGAGCAAGTAGGATTTTTATGCAAATAACTAGAGGAAAACGAGGCAAGTTCTCAATTCGACCATCTCTGCTAATTTTAAAGCTGATAACTCAGTCAAATCTATACCCAGCTTTCATTCTAATACCAAAAGTATTTTCAGTAGGGACAGTTTCCAGATGAGCTTCACCCTTTTAGCCCCCAGCCATGACCTCTGTAGAGTACTCAATGAAATGCTACAGCTTTAACTGTTAATACTGACCTAATAATTTATTATCTCACAGCCATTTTGATTTAAACTGTTTGGAATGTCTTGGATCAAAATTTACATGTTATTCCTCCACATGTATAATAGTAACTTTAAGTAGGAACTTTTGATCCTTGTTAGTGGGAAAGTGTTATAATGGATAAAGCCCTTTTTCTCCAGAAAATACTTCCATAATGAAAAGAAATACCAAATGTGCATAAATTTACTGTGTTGATGAAGCATTTCACAGTATAAAAAGAGTTCCTACTGCATCCCTGCCTGCAAATACTGACCTACAACTTCTGCCTCCCCATGGCTTTTCCTATGTAATCAAGCTGGAGACTCTCCTCATTTAAAAGGTGGATATGCAACATATTGCAATTTGTTTTTTGAAGAGTGATTCAGGATCTTCAGTCTAATCTAAAAGCCATGAATGTCTGCAGCAGATCTCTTGTCTTCACTGGACTCTGCAAAGGTCTTTAACCTACAGAAGCTGAGTCAAGGGAACAGATAAAGGCAAAAGGTTCCTAGCTATGGTCCCTACTCAGGTGAGCTGGAGGGATGAAAAAAAAAGCGTTTTTTTCAAATTTAAAGTGTTTAATCCAAAACCTGGTTCCAAATGAATATAGTTTCAATAGTAGTCTAGAGGGAAGCTGCTCATTATGTGCTCTGCCTTCGAAAAATATTAGATTGATTGACCACATGAGCAATGAAGGAATTCTGATTCTGAAGGCCGACATGGCCAAGAGCATTTTGGGATCCTCTTTCTGTTCCAGGCACTGGTCGAAAAAAGCTGCAAACAGAACCAAGCTACAGACCTCGTATCAGAGTTGCTTCTCCCTCCTCCTACATTCAGCTCCCTCCATCATCTCCAGCTGCTCTTCCTGCCACGACATGAGAGGAGAAAATGGCTTGGAACAGCGCAGAGCTGTGGAGAGCAGGCAATGTGGGATGCCAGAGAGAGATGAGGGCAATTTCTCATCTGCCCTGAGGGTCCAGTGTCCCAGAGGACTTATCTGTGTTAGCTTTGCTCTTTTTGTCTGTGATGTCACTGGAAGAATTAATACAGCAGCGTGGTGGAGGCGATTATTGCTGTGCCAGTGATATCTGGATCTGTGTCATCCCCTTTCACAACAGAAACTCATCCCTGAGCAGCGATGCCGCCTGGCTGGAGCAGCAGGGTGGGACTTGGCTCATGACAGACAACTGCAAACACAGGCTGCCTGTGCCACTGTAATACACTGGAATCATTTTAGAAGATGAGGTAGTTTGAACCATCTTCCCTAATTCCCTGATTGAACCATCCAATTCCCTAATTGAAGCAGCAATCTCTTACTGCCCCATTTTGGTGCTAAATACCCTGAAGAAAAGCTGCAATCTAAACTTAATGATAGTCTGTAAAGCTGATGGTCAGCTTGAACATTATAGCCACTGAAGACACAGAAGGAGGAAGCAAATGAACAATCCTAGGAACAATCCATGTGAGGTAACTTTCTCCAAAACAAGGAAAACCCCAGGAATGGGGCCCTGATTCATTGAAGCTGAGCTCGTGTGGTCCAGTAACTCAAACAGGGGGGCACCACAGATTTTAGGCAACACAAAGAAGCTCTTTCTTCCTTGTTTGGTATCTGGCCCACAGAAGGTAACCCTAGGTCACATAGGAAATCTGGGGTGAAACAAAGTTGTAGACATCCTATGTCAGGGAGCTACCTAGAGACAGCCCTATTTCCTCTTCTGGAAAAAAGATCAGTGTGCTAGAACATAGTAACAATGTATTTTAAGGACATTTACCCTTCTGCAATTGCTATTAATTCTGTTTAACAAGGCTGGCAAAGTATGTTGTCTGGGTTTCATTAAAACATAGAAAGAAAATGGTCCTTAGTGTAGACGTTATTAATGATCCATCTCTGAACCCAGTGCAGACTTCTGGAAACGGGAAGGAAGAACTTCTTTGAACATACAGGTATCAATTATTATCCCACTGCATCATAATTACCTTTAAATCAAAGAGGATTAGGAAGCTGAAGTAGAAGGGAAAGATGGGAAGTAGTTCAGTCACCAGCCGTGGAGGGATTTAAAAGGCATTCTGACATGGCACTTAGGGACATGGTTTAGCAGTGGACTTGGCAGTGCTGGGCTAATGGTTGGACTCAATTATCATAGAACTCTTTTCCAACCTAAAGGATTCCATGACATCCCACCATTCACAGTTCATTGCCACCTTCACCCTTCAGAGCCTCCTGCAGCCCTGGATGCCAATTCCAGCCCTGGCCATCAATTCGAGCCCTGGCTATTCTCTGGTACCAGCTCCTACTTTGAACTTAAATGCCATCACCTTTGGTTGACAAATGTCAATGCCTCTTGTTTAAATGTTTCTCAAGAGTCTCTCCAACTTCTGAAACCTTTCAAGGTGCTGTTTGAGAACTGATAGTGTGATATACAAACAATTAGATGAGTGTTTCTGAGGTTTTAATTTTCTTCTCATTTTCTCTCTGCTTTTCCTCCTACATCACTCCATGCAGTAAATGGTGAGCAAAACTGGTGGCAAACCAGCCTTTCAGAGCATGCCTGGCACAGAGACATTTTTGATTTTGGATGGAGCAAGCCAGAGAACCAGGTATGCCCTGGGACACGGGGAGGATGTGTGAGAAAAGGAGAGTGAGCTGTCAGAAAATTGAGTGTGGGACTCGCAGGACGAGATACGTGTTGTCAGGACTCTGTGGTGCGTGAGAGCACTGAACCCATGGATACCCTCGTGGTTCCAAATAGAGATGCTTTTCTCCCAAAATGTGCTCTACTTTGTTCTGCTTTGCTACCTGACAGCTGGTTGAGCTGCCTTAAAACTTGAGAGCTTTCTGGCAATTTCTCCCCAGTCCTTTTCCCCTTCCCCCAGTCCCACCCTTCCTGCTCCTGCTCTCTTCATCTCTTTACCCTGAAAACGTTCACAATGAAAACTAAACTTCTAATTTATTTTTTTTTCCTATACCTGAATAACCTCTTGTGTGCAGGATATTTTCTGCTTTAGGGCACAATCTGTTGCAGCACTGTTATAGCTGCTGCTGAGGCACCTATTGTCATTCTATATGCCTCGGCAACACGGCATTCTGTCGTGTTTCTCATCTGTGAACCCGCTGATTTATTGATAATGCTAATCTTGTTTGAAAGTTATAGAGCTTGCAAGTCAAATGTGCTTAAAAGGGAGAGATGGAGGTTCCCACTCCCCAACTTTTTATTGTTGGCGTGTCACAATAATCAAGTTTTTCAGGCAGCGTTAGAGGAGCTCAAGGTGTTTCGCAGGCATGAATGGAGCCTTGCCATGGTACCAAAGGGAGGGTTTTTACATCCTCATTAAATGCAACAGAGAAACCGAGTAGCAGAAATGACAATACATAAGTTAACCTACCTTACATCAAGTAACCATAGAGCTGAGCCTCAAGGGGATGTTGGGCAAGTTTTACGTTATCTCTCTTACAATATATTGTAATTGATTTGCACGCCCATATCCTCTGTTGAAAACACAATTTTCTATTAAAAACAATTTGGATGGATACTTTTTTATTACCTTTCCTGTATGATACTCTTCTGTGGTAAAAGATGGTCCCTGCCCTGAAGTGTTTTCTGTCAGATCAGTTCAGCCAGAGAAAATAAGTTTTACAATCTCCATTTTACAAATGAGGAAATAGGATATAGAGACATTAAGGAGACAGTTTTTGCAAGATCCCAGCAGACAGAGAATTTTCAGATATCATAAAGAAACTGCAAATTCTGACCACTTATGGAAATACAGTTATTAGACAGATAAATAGATAGCGATAAAGGCTTTTTCTTCCTTTTCTACTCCTTATTACAGAAGAATCTGGATTTTACTGTCATTGTGCTGTTCAGCTCTTCTTCAAATGGGAGGACACTGCTATAGCTCTATTTTTAGATGACGAACTCTGGCACAGAAAGGCTAAAGGTTCATTCTAAAAATGGATTTGAGCACCCAAATGCCTCTGTAATCTCTTAAATTCAGTTCTGATCTTACTGGGATTTACATGAGCCCTGTTCAGTTTTGTCCTTGCTCTAGGGATGCCAGAAGTCCCTTAAATATGTCTGTTGGCACAACATTCCCTGGGGTCTGATGCCACCAAGCGATTAGAAATCCTAATTATATCAAACCCACTGCCTTCCAAGTGTGTTCCACTGTCTGGGTTACCTGAAAGGCCCCTTAGAGGCAATTAAACTTTTATATTTTATTTTTTTTCTTCCTGAAGGATGAAGTCGAATTTTCATCTTATCAGCAGTTTAGTGTGTAATCACTTAGGATACTGATACAAATCTCAGTTCAAAAATAGGTTTTACTGTCTACTCATAATGCAACTGCTTTCATAAAACCCCCTGGAAGGAGACAAAATGCCTCTTTCTCAGGAGCTTCCACTCTCCCTGTGACTTTCCACTGGTGCAAGGGCCCAGGTCCCACCTAACTTCAGGCTTTCAACTAAAATGCCCAGTTTAGGGTACATCTCACTTTTAGTTTCCCAGAATTTTACCATCCATCCTTGATAGGACCCAAATCATTCTGTGATTCTGTGATTCCTAAACTGTTAAGCTGCCTTGAAGTCAGTGAGGAAAAGATATTGCCCATCTGAAATCCAAATCACCACTTCTGAAAGTGTTGATATTTTGATACAAAAAGGAAGGGAATTTTGCTGGCAAAGATCCTGAATTGGGTAAGTCAGTTATACCAGTCATGCCCGTTGCATCTTCTATTTCCTTTATCTCCAGCCCCTGGCTAAATGCTCCCCTTGCATTATATCTCCTCACCCCCTCCGTTCCCCCAGGAATCACCTCTAGAAGCCAAAGCTTAGACAATAAAGCCTAACAAAAATTAAAGAACCCTTCCTAAAACTCCAAAGCCCAACCATAAGCATTGTGTTCACATGGAATGAAGGCTCAGACAAGTGCCAGAAGTGACACAAAGGAATGGCACAAACGATGTGCTGGTGGCAATGGGGGGCTGTAGCACAGTAGTTGAGAGAAGGTTCTTGACCAGGTGCAGGAATTAGGACACAGTGATGTGGATGGTTATGATTAGATTTCTTGCTAAGAGTGTATCTAAATATTGCCAGTGCAGTATCTAAATAACAACTCCATCATCTATTACAATGGTTAATAACAACTCTATCATCTATTACAATGGTTACAGTATCATCAAGTCATGGTCCCAGTGAAGTGACCATTTAGATTCACGAGCTTCAGTGAGACCCCCCTTTCCAAACTGTTTAGAGAGCTCTGGTTGCAGCTCGCTCCACTTTGTCTCAGGTTTGGTTGACAGTTTATGACTAGAGGGTTATAATATAAGAAATTTGGATAGAAACTTGCAGGTTTACAGTCTTTGGCCCTGAAAAATTCACAACTGCAAAGCAACAAAGCACTTATAGAATTCCTTTAGGATTTTTTTCTCCATATCTGACCAGATCTTAATGCTTTTACTCGCCTTCCCCAAAGGGTTCCCTGTCTTTGGGCTGGATGTACCCTGGAGGTGTCCCTGTTGGGGGGATCCACTCAGAAGCTGATTGCAACCTGGAAAAACCAGTTGGCCCAGTTGGCCCGGTCTTCAGCAGGATTTTATGCCATTATGCAGGATGATGTCTACCAAAGTCAATCAAAAGCTTCTCAGCTCCCCATCTCTGGAATGCACTAATTATGTGAGACCCAGGCAGTTCCTCCTGCCATACCCATCTGGTGTTCTTGCCTTAGGAAAAACTACATTGCCCATCAGAGACAGATAGACATGGAAAGGGAGAGGGAAGGGAGAGAGGGAAACCAATACAACACAGGCAAGCGAAGACCTCACTGTCTTTCATCGCTGCCACAGGGGCTGAGGGCAGATCTCCCACTTCTGTGGAGTTAGTCACTTATTTATAGCTATGACATAAGAACCTTTGGTTAGTCAGGTGCTTAAGAACAGTGAGGATATGTTTGAGAAAAAGGCTCAACAATCTAGACCACAACATGTCTTATCCTAAATGAGTTCACCAGTGTCAGAAATTATTCACCAGAGAAGAGACTAAAGCCTGGCTTCTGGGCTTTATGATGTCCTTAACCCCCAAAACTCCCTAATAACAGTATACATACTTCTGTGCAGTCTTATTCGTGGGCCATCTTGTCATTTCTATACAATTAAAATGGTATGTACCAAAAAAAAATGAGCTAAGAAGTCACTGACAATTCTAGGAACCAATGTCAGTTTGTCTTATACAGTCACCTCCCAGAAACAGTATTTTTGTTTAGTTCACTTACTGTAGGTCTGTGTAGATCTGTGATACCCTGTGCAGCTTCACGAATGCTACCTCATGTAAGTAAGAAGACAAAGCACTGAAATAATCACTTTTGTGCTTTAAATATATATGTATATATATATACCTTTCAAATCACCTCCAACCCTCTAAAAATCACTGAAACTCCTCTCCAGCCTCCGGGCGTTTGTCTCTATTGAGTGATAGGAGACAGTCGACTGGCATGAATCAAACATTCACAACTGCAAAATTCTCTCCCATCTGTTGTAAAACCAGTGCAAGCATGAACAACTGTGAGGTGAAACAATCTTTCAACCTCCTCAGCAATCTCATAAATTATCTGCAGCTAAATAACCCAGAAAGCAGAGCAGAATCTCCCAGCCTTAGGTAACAATTACACTACTTGAACTCTAAGAAACCTCATGCTAGCACTCAAAATTAGGAGCTTAATACACAAATGAATTGTGAAGGTTTGGTGACAGCAGTGTTTAGAAAATGCTTTTGTGACCCACTCAGGTGTTTTTCCAAAATGTTGCTGAATGGGGAAGTGTTTTATTTTGTTTCACTGGGAAAGAGATGTAGACTGGTTTTGTCTGCCCCTGAAGTACTGAATAATGTTGGTTTCCTTACCCATGAAAGGGAAATGCTCAGGCCTCCTGCTTGGCACCCCGTGCTTCATTTCAACACCAGTACAAGAGTATAGCTGTTTGACTTCTGAGCTCTTCTCAAGTCAGAGTGAGATTTTAGTTCCTAATGCCAGAGTCCCTGACAAAGTGTTTTTAATGTTTAAATGTTTTTAAATGCATAATTTTTTTATTAGGCTAAGAACTTTTGATGAAATGCCTCATCCATGTTAAGTTTTTTATTTCCTAGTCATCTGTTTTTCCTCACCGTCCTAAATATTCTTTCTTCTGGTGCCCTCAAATACTGTACATACCTATTTTGCTCATGTTTCCACCTAAGTCAGCCATTCATCAGTATTTTGCACTTATGAGCCTTCTACCAACAGTTTTGCACTGCTCAGAGTCAGGAGATCTCAGTAAGGTGGGAAGAGGGAGCACACAAGCAGGAGATGATGATGATTTCCCTAAAATGTCACAACTCCCTTGCAGAATAGGGCTGGGCTGAGCATCCAGGGACCCAAAGGGACTTTCAGTGGTTGTTGCTTGATCAGCTTCTTCCATGGGGGAAGAACATGGGATTTGGCAGCTTTTGTGCCCCCATGAACCCAGAAATGGTCAGCTGCCAGAGATGCAGACAAATCACACCTGAGCAATAGTTTGGCCTCCACTGATGAAGTTCACAGGTCCAGTTGATGTATTTAGTTCACAGCTCCCAGGACACTGCAGAAAGACAACTGTGACTGTACTTATTCTACACAGATGAAAAATAGAAGAGAGAGAAGCTCAGGAAGTCATCAATAAAATT